CATATTATTATCTTTAGGCTTGAGTTAATTTTACAAAAAAAACAATTACTCTAGTATATATTATTAGAATTAAAATTTATCTACAGTATTTTTATTTTGAAATATTGCCATAGAATATATTTTTCAAGACAGATTTTAGATTAATGTTATTTATTTACTTATACAATATAGTATTTTTAGTATTAACAAATATAGTAAATAATTATTAATTTTTTATATACTTAATATATTACGGATTATTATTGATATATTTAATGACTAATAAATTCAAAATTTCCACCAATAATATAAAAATAATATTAGAAAAAGTTGAAGATTGTATTTAAATTAATATAGATAATGATTAACAGAATGCCTATTTTATAATAAAATAAAATAAAAGTATTAAATTGATAAAAATTTTTCAAACTTAACCAAAATAAATATTTTCATTTGTGAACAATTCTTTTGAAAATATTTTCAGTTTTTAAAATGATTTAAATGAAATTTCTCCTAGCAATACTAAAGATATAAATGACTAAATTTAAAAATAAACAAGAAAGAATGAATAAATTTAAAATAAAGCTAATTGTGAAACACAAGAAACATAAAATAAAAGCAAATAAGACATCGAAAATTAATAAAAACAACAAAAAAATTAATATTCCTATGAAATTATATCATAATTAAACATTGATTAAGACTTTAAAATAATCTAATCTTCCCAAAATTAACTATTAGTAGAATTATCGAATAAAATAATATTCTATTCGCTTCCTGAATTAAAGCAAATAAAAGAAATTCTATTAAAACCCAACCTAGACTATATTTTCCATTAAACAGAATAGAAAATAATATATTATTATTATGAGAAAGAATAGAACCGTTTTTGTTTCGAAAGGCATGATTTAATTGGAAATACCCAAAATTTAAAATTCAGTTCAATTTTAACTAATAAAAACACGAATTTTAAAAAAATCCTTCTCTACTCTACTTTTATTATAGACGAATCTTAAACTCGTGAAGTCCTTTTATTTTCCGATGGTTAATATTTAGTGGGTATAGATACAATTAATTTAGAACAATAATTGCTTGAATAATAAATAGGATTCAATGATAATATATAACTCCAATAAATAAATAATAGATATGTAGCAATTAATAATTTATAAGATGAAAATGATAAAATCCTTATTGATGTACCAAATTATATATATAAAAAATTCAGCAAATTATAATATGATTGCTCTTTAGGAAAGATACACAACCTTAATAATTGTGCATTTTTAAAACATATGGATGTACATAATTGCAGCTATATTTTAAATATATAAAATAATAAATATTAAGAAAATAATGAATTAGAATAAATAGAAAAAATATGGTTCTTAGATAATTTTTTGTTCTTTGTTGACTAGCTAAGAAACTTAGGCATTTTAAATGCTTAATATTTAAATATTAGAAATTTTGATAAAGTTGAAGATTATATTGATTAATAATAATCAATTTATGCTTTATGATTAATTATATATTTTAATAAATTAATAAAATGATAAATAATAAAATTATAGTATATAAAATTAATAAAATTTTAGTATATAAAAATAATAATTTTTAATATATAATATTGTTTATGAGTTTATAATAAATATCTATATATATTATATGAAAATTAAATTTCTATGATAAAAAAAAAAAAATTATGTATAATAATAAAAAAAAAAAAAAAAAAATCTGAAGAAAAAAAAAAAAAAAGAAAAAAAAAAGAAAAGTAAAATAAAATAAAATAATAAATCATTATAATAGATAATAAATTAAAAGTAAAATAAAAATAAAAAAAAAAAAATAATAAATAAAAATAAAAAATAAAAAATAAAAAATAAAAAATAAAAAATAAAAAATAATAAATAATAAATAATAAATAATAAATAAAAAATAATAAATAATAAATTATATATAAATAATATATATATATTTTTATTATTTTTTAATATTATCTTAATATATTATGATTTTTTTTTTATTTTAGTTTTTTATTAATAATTATTACAATCATTTTTACTATGATGAATATTATTAAAACTTCTATTTTTATTTTTCTTTTAATCATATATAATAATTTTTTTTATTATTATATTTTGCATTCCTTATTAAGTATTTTTATTTTTTTTGGAAATATATAATTTTATTGTAAAATTTTATATTTTGTTAGATTTTCAAGTTATTATTTAATTTAATAATCGGAAATTATTATTATTTAATGAATTTACTTGTTTAGAATTGTCAACTTCTACTATTTAATTATATGTTTTGATTTATATATGTAAAGTCCTTATATTTATTAAATATTATAAAATATTTAGATTTAATTTATCAAATAATAAAAATTCCTTTATAAAAATATCTAAATCATTAATATTTAACTCATTTTATTTAGCTTTATCATAAATCATTTCTTTAACTGAATTTTTTAGTAGATTTTAATGATATTTTTAGAATCTTTAGGCTATTTTTGAAAATTTCGGAGAATTAAAGGCTAATTTTGTAAATAAAAAGAATCCTTGATAATATTAGTTTTATATTAAAATTATAATAGATATAGGATATCTTAAGATTTTTTAAGCTTATTTTATGGTTTAATGCGCTATTTAGTTTAATTGACTAAAGAAATAAAATAATTAAATAAAAAAGGTGAAAATTAAGAAGATATGAATTGTAAAGAAAAAACAGCAAATTATAAATATAATTTTAATAAAAAAAATACAACGATAATACTCAATGAGAAAAAATTACAGAAATCCATGAAGAAAAAGATAAATAATTTGATGATAATGCAAAAATAAGAAATAAAATAGCAAGCAAATATATATATAATTAAGAAATATTAGAAAGATTTTATATAAAAATAAAATTTTTTTACATTAAATAAAAATAATATACATATAGTAAACATTTAATATAAATTATTTAAAAAAAAAAAAAAGAATAAATTAATAAAACAAAAATTTGGAATATATTATTATTAATAATAAAAAATTATAAAAAAAGTAAATAAAAAATTAATATTAAAAAAAAATAATTTAATTAATTAATATTTTTATTCTATATAAATAAAATAATTAAATTAAAAATTTAAAAATATATATGTATATATATATATATATGTATATTTAATAAATATATTTATATTTATATATATTTATGTATATATATTTATATCTACAATATTTTATATTAATTTAAAATATATATATTAGATTTATAAAATTTTCACATATTAATAATAAAAATCTATTAAAATCGATTTTTTTTTTATTTTTTTATATTTAAAAAATAACTTTATCTAAAAATTATAAAAGATTTATCTATAATATTAATTTTTAATTTAAAATTTTTTTTTTTTAATAATTAATTTATTCATATCTCAATATGTCGGTATAATAATAAGTTATTCTTCATCACAATGTTAATTTTGTATTGCACGTTTTTTACAAGGGTTATCAATAACATTATATTCTTTAGAAATAGTCATATCGATTGCATAAAGCATTTAAACTCCATTAATTTTTTTACATTTAACAATAACAGATCCACCGAAGCTATTTTCTAAGCTCTATTTAATATCTTTAAGTTTATAACCCTTATCATTATTAGGACTAATTTAACTTTAGGCAAGTGCTGAAATGGGGTTATATCTATCATGTAATTCTAATACTGTAGAGAAATAAGATTACTAATCTCCTTCAAAGCAAGTACCGTGTTTTCTCCATTCATGTTAGATGAAAACATTATTACTATTATATAAACCATTCCAGTATTTTCTCATTAAATTTATTGTATTACTATTCAACTCTGTATAACTGAAAGATTCATGTCCGCAATTTTAAGGATAACCGCATTAGTCATCCTCTATACCATTTGGCCATAATCCGTGAATATTGAAGTTTTTTCCATCGAAATCTCCGAGGTAATCCTATTAGCAATTGTTGATTTTACAAACTGTACCAGGCCATTCTCTTTCGAAAGCAAAATATGAATAAGTTCCTTATTAATAAGTCTTGAAAGAACTATGATTATTTTATCTTTTTTGTAAAAAGTATTATTATGAAGACTTTTATTCTTTATTTAAGTGAATGAATACTCCAGTAAGTAATATAGTAGAGACAAATAATAAGGTTAAGACTTTATTCATATTGATTTTTTTTATTATTATTATAATTTATTTTAATTTTTGAATATCTTATAGAAATTTTATAACTTTGTTTTAAATTATTTTAACTGCCCCCACGCTATTATTTTTAATTATTAATCCAATAAAATAGTTTTTATTTTCTACTTTAAAATCATTAAATATTTTTATGATAGAAGTATAAAACTAAAATTATTTATAGAAAATTCAAAAGCAAAATATATTAATTATTAATAAAATATATGGAATTTTTCGAAAAAATATATAAATGACTTTATTAGTTGCATAAAAAATATAATTATTTTAATTATATAAATTTTCATATGAATATTTATACATAATTAGATTTTATTAATTGTTTAAAGCCAATTTTTTTTTTTTTTTTTAATTTATAATTTTATATCATATGTTATGTCTAAAATTAATCTGGTTTAAAATAAAAATACTTTTATTTAAATGAATACCAAAAAAATTAAGCTTTTTGTATGTCAAATAAAATATTTAATACAAAAATAATGATATATTTATTAGTTTATTTTTATAACTAAAATAAATTATTGTATCTTAATTTTATTTATAAAAATTAATGGAATATAATATAAAAAAAAAAAATTAATTTATTTAGAAAAGTATATTTTTATTTTATTGATAGATATTTTATATTTAAATTCTTTATAAAAAAATTTCATTTTATATTTTATTTTATTATTAAATATTATATTATTATAAGAAATTACAAATTAAGTATAAATATATATTATTTTTGTATAAATGTTATTTTTAATAATATCTTTAAAAATTATAAAATTATTTATACTTTTGTCATTTTTTTTTTTTATTAAAAATTAAATATGCATTTATAAAATATCTTTTATAACAAAAAAATATATCATATTTTAGATAAAAAAGCTATTAATTTAAAAAATTTATTGATTTTAACTACATAAAGTTATAGTTATTTATTTCTATAAGTATATAAATAAAAACATATATAAATTAAAGTTTTGGTTTTTAATATATATTTAATCATATATATCTTTTTTTTTATTATAAAAATAAATTTATATTCCTAACCTTAATTAACAATTATTTCAGATTTATTCAATTTATAATAAAATATATGAAAGCATATATATATTTAAAATATAAAAAATATTTCTATTAATTTAAAATTTTTATGGATTTTTTTTAAAAAAGTAGTCTCTTAAAAAGCTTAATTTATAAAATAAAAAAATATTCTTTAAGTAAAAATTATTTTTTAACATATAGAATTAATATTAGATATTAATATTTAATACATTTTTTTTTTATTTAAACATGCAAATTAATTACGAAAATTAATAAACATAAATAAATAAATTAATTAGAATTTATCTTTTTGATTTTATATCATATTAAATAATATTTTTATTTTAAAATTTATATACAAATTATAATATACAATATACATATATATATTAATAATTAAATTTTAAACATTAATAATTTTGTTTTTAACTCTAAATTAATAAAATAAAGATCATTTATTGTCTTATTATACAAAAACACCTTCTCTTTTATTTTTTGATATTTTACATTTTTCTATATCTAAAAAACCTTTAATTATTATTTAATTTTTTTAAATTAAAACTTAAATAAATTTAATTTACTATTAACAATTTTCTTTACTGGTATTAATACTATAAATATAAATGCAATTATAGATAATATGAATAATGCGAAAATTTAAAACTTTAATATATTTTTTTAAAAAATTTAAAAATAATATTTTATTTTTACTTTTTAATAATTATCTATTTATGTGAAGTCTAATAAATTAGCTAGAAATTTTTATACACTATAGTTTGATATTATATATCCTATAATAATTCCAAGTATTAATCCAAGAAACATCCTTAATTATATTTTATTAAAAGAACAATTTTTTAAAATAAAAATATATACTGTTTTTAAATATTTTTATTATAATTAAAAAAAAAAACAAAAAATATTAAAAATACATAATTATATTATAATATATTATATTATATTTCGTTTATTATTTAAATAAATAAAAATAATTCAATCAAACAAGTTTTCATTCTCAACTAAATCCAATTCTTCTTCTTCATTAGTTCTATTAAACTTAATAAAATGACTGACTCTATGATTTTCATTATAAAAATCTTTCGGATTTACCAAAATAAGTGCATATTTCATAGTATGAACAAGACCTAAACCTACAAAATTATAATTCCAAATACTATTATCAGGACACATGAAAAATCCTTTTATTTTATCAGATAAGAATAGTTAAGTTTTCTCATAATGAGTATTATTATATCCTGATGTAGCCTATAAGTCTTTATTTTTCTTTCCCCATTCATATCCTTATTTAGTTAATTTATAAGCTGTAAGTGTACAAGAACCTGGTGTAAATGAAACTGTCAAAACAACACATTATTCAGGATTATAAGCCGTGTTTTCATTTAAAATTTTAGAATGTAAATTAATATCATAAGGACTAAGTGCCATTTTTTCTTAAAAATAAATAAGAAATAATTTATAAATATATATATAAAAAAATTATATATAAACATATATGGATATAATAGATATACCTTCAGGTTACGTATGTAACCAACCTAAAGGTTCCAAATATTTCAAATATTCAGAATCAGGCATTAATTAAGGGAAAGTAACTGAATCTTTACTTCCTATTTAAGGGACCATGATTATACATCTAACTTCTTTAACATGAGGATGGCCTGGAGGGGATATTCCGTACATATATCCACCTATTTAAGTACCAAAATCGGCTATAGAAATGAATTTTTCGAGGATATTTTTGGGGAGAATATATGTGAACCCGGATTCTTGGATATCATCAGAATTTACGTATATATGTTTAGCTCTTAGGTGTAGATTAGTAGCGGAAATTGCTTTTATTCTCCAATTGGCGTGTGATTTAAATTATTGTTATTCGTAAGGTTTTTAGACAGTGACGGTTATTTCTTCCCCAAGAACATTTGTTGTTTTGACAGTTACTTCAGTTTGATGGGCGGCTTCTTTATGTTGTTTTTCGACATCTTTTATTTATTCGTCTTTCATAGAGGGAGGTGCCATTTCTTAACCTAAAATTATATCTCTTATTTCCATTTGTGTTAATGCGGTTACATTTACGTTGTTTTTTTTAGCATAGTCGGCTAGTATAAGGTTTTTTAATTCAACTTCTACTTTAACCCATTCATCGTCAGTTAAAGAAGGCCATATATGGTTTGGTTGCGTTATTACTTATTTATTTGGCTTTAGTATCATTCTGGCTTTGTCTATATTTACATGTAGGGCTCTTAAAATTAGAATAAGACGCGAAAAAGCTGTAAAAGAAGAGCATGTGGAAAGCCAATTGTCATACAAATTAAAAACTACCATCTAGGGTTCAGTAGCTTTTAGTATTAAATCTCCTAGTTTTTCGATTTTTAAACATGATTGGAAAGGTAGTTACATTTCACTGCCTTTTATTACTATATTAGGGAAATCTAATAGATGAACTTCTAAAGGATCTAACATACCTTTTCTTGTGACTATAATTTAACGAGGTTACTCTTCTACCGGGAGTGCTCTAATTAATGCTGCAACCTATTATATATATATATATATATATGTATAACTTATATATATATATATATTTACTTCTTCAGCAGTTTTCCATTTAGCTAATTAACCTAGACGCTTTTAACCTGCCCAAACTGAAGTATGGATAATTTTTAAGAAAAGTTCACCTGTTCTGGGATTAAAGATAAAAATACCACCATTAATAGGTTTAGTAGTTAGATTTCCTTCCTAGGTTTTATGGATAGTGACTCTATAGACATTAGTATCATCGACAAACCAAATAGTTTAATTTGAAAAAAGTTCGGAATAATTGGAAGAGGATAAATATGGTTCTGTGGGTTCTGAAGAATATAATTACAGTCCTTTTCTAATTCTTTCTCTTAAAACATATAAAGCCGGATTACATTTCATGATTTTGTTCATTGCTTATAAAATTAAGGCTTTTCCTCCTTCAAACCATGTCCCGAAGGCTGAATGTAAATTGTACGCTAAGTCAATTGCAATCAAACAGCCATTAGGGGACGGATAAATTGATATATTGTCGTTTGTATAGTCTAGAAATTTCGCTCTAGCATATCTTTCAATATCATGAGAATCATAATCTCCCCATCTTAATTATATGTCAATCCAATATTTATTAGCTGTAGTACCGTCGTAGGAGTCTTTTTATTCATGCAGCAGAGAAGGTTTACTTATGGGCCATTTAAAGGATGCATAGAGGAGAATATCTGCACATGAAGAGTTCATTTTATATGATTTTCTAGGATGTATGGTTTCTTTTTGAACTGTTTCGATATTTAAAGACTCTAGTTCCATATCAAAGACTTGACACATGTCCATTACTACTGATTCGTGTATTTTTTACCATAAATGGGCTCTGAAAATCTATATCAGAGATATCTTTAGTGTAGGGATTTTACCATGCATAAATATACCAGTCAAATCTAATTATACTTAAAATCCTATATATACGTTAGCTCTATTAATTGTAGGAGACCACCAAAGAGTAAATCTTCTATTTGGAATTTAATTCAAACCACTTCTTTGGGCATGTGTGAGTTTTTTATATTTCATTGATTCTTCGAAACCTGATGCCTTTTCCCAAAAAAGACCCTCCCAGGTTGTAAAGTAGGTACCTTTAAATAATGTATGCTCTAATATACCTTCGACACCACCTAAAGCTTATATCATATCAGTTCTATAGTGATTTAAATTCCATAATTTACCGTCATGTTTAGTATGAGTCCACCAGAAAGGGTTCTATTTGAGAATTTAGTACTGTTTGAAGTCTTATCGTACTCTCCAACCCTTATCATAGGCTAGTGTAAGTCTATCTTTTTGGAAAAGTGTATTTATACGGGGAATACCATGATCCCAACTTTCCATTAATTCGTCTATAGTAAGACGCCTGTTTTGGGAGAGGGCTTCTTGTTTTTTAAGTGCGTATTCAGCCCAAACTCTTTGAGAATCGAGAAATTCAGATTCCCATGATTATATATATCTGTGCAGATTTGGAATTAATTAGTCTTCTTCGTGGGACATTCCGGCACGGAAATGGGAAATTCCAGTGTCTGTTTGTCTATAGAATTTTAGGTCAGATTGTGGAATTAAAATATGTCCCATAGAAATCATACCAAGCCCTCCAAGTTCTTTTGGAGTGTAGAAAACTACGGGGGGGAAACGGGAAGGCATTTTGGAGTTTAGGCCAATTTTTATACGTGTTTGGATTTTGTTTTCGCATTTAACAAGGAGGTCGAGGATTTGTTCGGTGTGGATTACTGCTTCTCGGAAATAGGTCATTAGGCCGATTAATGTGGTGTTCCATTTATTTGCGATTTTGGTAAAGGTAGTACTTCCAGAGGCTAGTAGGATTTAACGGATTCGGTTTTCGAATCTTTTCATAGACTCATCGTCTACACGTAAAAATACTTAAGCAGTTATTTCCTTTGTTGATTCGTTTTAGAGCTTCCAAACGCCATCTCGTTGTGTAAAAGTCTCGTTTTAGGCTTTTATTTTGGGCAATATACGGACTTCGAAGCCGCACATATTGAATAGTAAGTTAGGGTTGTCTTTAGAGTAGACAGAGCAGAAGGAATGCTCCCATTCGATTGTGGTGAGACATCTGGGAAGTCTGTTTTTCATTTCCCAAAAAACTGCTCTTCCTAGATTCACATCGTGTTTCATAAGACGCATTCTGCAGTCTTTAGGCCAGCATTTTTTATTATTGTATCCTACTATATTTTCGTTATTTGGATCTGGATTTTCTGTTAAATATCTTTATACGAGTTCTTTACTTTCATCTTCGTCGAATCTTAGGACTATGAAAAATTTGTCTATATATCTACAATATAATTTTATTGGGTGAGAAAGCTCAGTTCTTATATCTTAAAAAGTCATAAAATCATTCGGTTAATTTGGAGGCCCGGCAATTTCCGAAGCTCTAGAAAGTCCTAAAATTAATAAATCAAGAATCAAGCCGTAAAACTAGTAGAGGAAAGAAGCAAATTATAAACCGTGGATTATTCCATATGAGTTTGTATGATTCATATCTTTAAAATTTATTACTATGTTATTTTTAGCAGTCATATAATCGGCTATATTGTGGTCGACGATTAATCTTAAAAGTCTATTGAGGAATGTTAAGTCAATTTTCTCGTAGACTTTTTCGAATTTACTTTCTAATAAGACAAGGCATTAGTTATCACTGGTATCCCAAACACCATATAGGTTATTTATTCCTTAACACCATTTATATACTAGTAATGGTGGGGGCTATATATATATATATATACATAATTATTTTCATTTATATTTACTTCCGAATCAGCTGGTTTTATCCAATTAGGGAATAATCTTCTTTTATCAGCTTCATACCATAAGTATTAATCTAAATAAGCGTCAGTTATTTTCTCCATAGGGTCAATATCATATACGGGGACTAAATGTGAATATAAATCCATAAATTCAATTGTAACTTCTTTAAATTACCTTTATGTTAATAGTTGTCTTTTTACCCTAGTTAAGGCTTCATGTGGATTATCGTAAGCTTACTCGATTAAAGCTAATTCTTCTCTTTAACTTTAATTGAGTCTGCTTTTAACTGAGTAAGATTCTTTCAGTCTTTCTAAAGCTAAAACGAATAATTTAGTGTCATGTTTATAATTAATAGGAGGAAATGGAATATGCATAAATTTTCTTGATTCTAACCAATGTACAAGTAATGTATAAATAGAAACAGCCTTATATATTTATAAATACATCTAAAATATTATATATATTTATTACCTCATCTGGTTATAAATAAGGACCATCCTTAAGATAATTATGTTATCTTTCTTATTCATTTTTAAGGAAAAGTCTAGTTAATCTTCCCATATTTTTTTTACAAACAGTTTTATCTACAGTAGCTCCTCTTCTAATTCTTTCTCTGTTATAATATGCTGCATTAGTCCACCAATCAGCTTTTTATTTTACATATCTAAGTATCATATTTTCAATAGGAACAGGCATTCCGGGGACTTTCCATGGAATATTAGCCTTCCAGCATCTCCATGCTTCAGAAAGATGTTATAAAATAGTTCTATTTTTATTTGCTTTGACTCCCTCTGGCATCATATCTGAGATACTATTCATAACAGCAGCTCTCAATTCTAAATCAAAGTTAGATTCATCTCTTTGTTTTGTTACTTATTTAGATGATCCTTTCGAGTGCCGACCCTCAAATTGCCTAGCGAGTAGATTTCCTAGCCATCTTTCTAATAAGGGGATGATTCCTCTCATAAAAAATAACCAAACTCTCCACATAGGAGCCCAAAAACCACATCCTGGCCCTTTTCCGACTGGACCTGTATTAAATCTGTAATATATAAGATGCTTTAGGTCTTTGCACATTCTAATTTACCTCATAAGCTTATATTTATACCTGTACATGCCTGTTAATTGACCCACATGGGCGAATACATACTAAAGTCCATCTGCTAATTAAAATGCATCGACATAGCCTAGTCTATATTAGACGTGAGAATCGACTACTAGTTTGACTAAACGTAGTACTTCTCGACATAAATGGAAAGCGTTTCCAAATCTGGATTTTTTTCTTTCCTTTGTAGTTAATGTTTTGACTGGTTTCAAATTAAAATTGTAGTCCAAATGTAGATAATTTAAATTTTTTCTGTGAATTAATAAATTTAACATATTATAGCCTTATCTGCAGACTTAAAGGCCAATTTCTACCCAATCTAGTTCTGTATATTGGAAAAATTTAGTAGATGAAAAAGCCTTAAAAAGGGATCTTTTGACCTAAGCTTTAGGCTTTCTTTTATGCAAATTATTCAAAACCCAACACTTAAGCAATTTTTGATATGAAACTCGCACTTTGACCGGATTTTCGGGATTACATCTTTCCTTAAACCAAGGAGAGACTAAAGGAATGTCTATAGCCCTTCTATTTCGGCCTGTTCTTTAATTAAAAGGCTTTGGAGCCCATAAAAGGGCTAATCCGTTTGAAGTTTAGGATGTAAATAATTCTTCTTCATTTAGGAAGGGTTGAAAAAATTCGGGCATTTCGATTTCTTCTAGATCGAGATCATCTTATTCAATTTCTGTAGTTATTGAGTCTTTGTTTTTTTCGGTTCTATAGGCCGATATAGGGTTTATTATTGGATCGAAATAATATGTTGGGAGTTCTATGTCTTCTTATTTTATATAACAACAGGAAGGGTAGTGGTAAGGGGCTATTGCGACTCTTCTAGGCCTTGAATTATATAAGAAAGGGAATGCTATTTTATATTCTGTTCTTATTTATTGCCTTATTATTATTTTATTTAAATCATTAAATTCGTTCCAGTCGTCATCTTCTTCCAAATCTCTATATAGAGGCTCGAATTTAGGGCCTCCAGGGATAGCCATATTTAAAGCTTTGGCAGTATAAAAGGATTTAGCATCGAAAAGATGGAAGAAATTTTAATCAACTATATCACTAAGTAATTAATTTGCTAGTCTTTATAAATTAGACATTACTTCGAGCGGTAAATGCCATTTTTTATATGATTATCCGTTTACCATTTTAGTAAATTATAAAGGCCTGTGGTCATAAAACCAATCAAAAACTGAATTGTCGTCAACTTCGTCTAATTCCATTTAAATTGGGTCCTAAGGCTCTACATGGAGGACATTGTCGCCATAATCTAAGGGAGGTTCTTCATCATCAAAGGGAGGAAATCTCATTCTTTTGAAATGCTTTCGGTCTTTTTTCTCTCGTCTCATCATTATCCACATTGTACCCCATTGAGCTATGTAAACTGGCTCGATTACAAATGGAATTTCGTTTGCAAATGTTATGGCGCCCGTTATATGATATAATACTTTGACATAACGTACTTATTCCCAAGGCATAGGCATATTTTCTAATAATTTATATACGGCATGCGGTATGTATTTTAAAGCGCCTAAATATACTCGTTTATCATGTCTAAATTTCTTTGAAGACATATCACCATGGTCTTTTATTACTTTTCTGTTTTTTTTTTTTTATTATATATTTATAGATATATATAGTTTACCGCAATATTTCGGGAGGCATTTTCTCTTTTTAAATATCTACATAACCAAATTTGCGCTTTTATTCGTAACGCTTTTGATTCATTTAGCGCCATTTCTTGATTTTATCGTCTAATATTTCCTCCTACATTACAGGACGTTGGGGATGTTGGGCCATTTTTTATGGCATTGCTACTACAGGGAGTGGAGGAGGAGGCGTAGGGATTTAATATTAACCTTTTTATATGGATTCATAATTTTTTTATTATTTATATTTTAGAATACCTTGCATTTAGTATTTTGTTTCTTATTTTCTAATTTTTTTTATATTGATTTATATTTAATTTTATTTTATTCTTTAATTCAAAATAAAAGTATTTATTTTTATATATTTAATAGACACAAAAAAAGATTTTTTTTTTTTTACATTTTAATTTTTATTAAAATAACTTTTTTTAAAAAAAAAAATTTATAAAAATATAAATAAAAGATAAACAAAAAAATATATTATAATTTTTTAATAAATAATTTAAATTATAGATTTTTTATTATTTCATAAAATTTATATATTTTTTTAAAAAGTTATTAAATTTTGTTATGTTATTTTTTATAATTTTTTTATATTAAAGTAATATTAATAAAAATTATTAAATTAATTATTTTTAATTAAATATATATTAATTTATTAAATTATTACAGTAATAAATATAAACTCAAATATTATAATTATTTTATTGTAAAAGTAATAAAATTATATATATAAATATAAATATATATATATATAAATATATATAATATATTATATATATATTTTAATATTAAACTTATATATTATCTATTGAAATTAAAAATAATTTCTTTTCTTCATTTAAAACATTTAAAAATTAAATTTATAAAAATCTTTAATATAACAAAAAAATATAAACATAAAACTCACTTGTTTGCTTATTTTATTTTAAATTTAATTGTATAAAACTATCAAATTTTAATTAATATCAAAAATTAAAACACATGAATCTTTCAAAAAATAATAAAAATTTTTTATATAATTAAATCTTATATATATTAAAATAATCATTTTATATATAAAATTAAATTTTTTAATTGTTCTATACTTTTATAATAGTAGTAGGTATTTAAGCTCATAAATTTTAAAAAATTTAAATTATAATATATATAAATTTAAGTTTTTAAAAAAATACTTTTTAATGCAACCACTTATAAATTAATTTAAATTTAAAAATATTGATAAATATTATTAATACCTATTTTTTTAAAGCTTTTTTTATTTACCTATAATATAAATCATAAATTCTAATAATATAATATATGAATATTAAAAAACAATAGAATTCGAAATTTTTTTATAAATAGAAAATTATACTTAAATTAAATCTAATTAAATTAAATAATTAATATTTTGAAGTTTAAATAAATTAAAGATTTAATATTTATTATACAATAAACTAAATTTCTTTATAAAAATATGAATTCTAAAATAATATTAGTTATTAAGTAAGAATAAGATTAACCTTAATTTAATAGAAAAAATATTAAGAATAATAAGACAAAAAAATTTTAAAAGAATAAATTAAAAAATGATTGTTAATATAACATTTTATAAATGTTAAATTTATCGAAAAAAAAAAATTTGATTAAAAAAAATGACAAATACGCTAATGTAAAATAAAAGATTAAAAAATTTAAATTGTTTAATATTAAAATAATTTCATTATATATTTATAATAAAAAAAAATTATGATAATTATAAAAATAAAACTAAATTTTGAATAAATATATTTATACAAATAAAAAAATATTTATATGTATATTTATTATATATAAAATTATTTAAATATATATATATTTACATATATATATATATATATTTATTTATATATATTTATTTTTTCATATAATATCATAATCTACACTTTATTCCTATTCATAAATATTTTCTTCATCATCATCTAAATCATATTTGAAATTATTAAAAATAATGTTATTTTCAATTTGTTAATTATTTTTTATTTTATTTTTTACTAAACTATTATTATAATCTTGATCTTTTTTGCATTATTATATTTCATAGCTATTTTTTTTTTTACTTTCATTTAAAATGCTTTTTTATTTTAATAGATTATCTTCTTCTTTTAAATAATAATGATTTAAATTAATTTCATATTCTTTTTATTTATTTTCTATAAAATAATTATCGTCATCATCTTCATCATCTTAATCTTCAAATTCTTCTTATTTTGAATTTTAATTATATTAATAATCATTAGAAAATTCATTAATTTATTCATTACTTTTATATTAATTTTCATATAAAGATTAACTATAATTTTCTTATTAATCGTCAATATCTTCTTCAAAATCATCATTATTGCTATAATTTTTTAATTCGCTATTTTGAAAAAATTAGTTTTCTTTATCTTGTGTTTTTAATTAAAATTATTATTAAATATTAGATTAAGAATTACAATCTTTTTAGCAAATTATGTTTGAATTACTTTAATGTAAATTATTTTTTAATATTTATATTAATTCTTTTTTATTATTTTAAATAGATTTATGTTTTTATATATGTTTATAAAATATTTTTGTATTTGTATTTTACTTATTATTTAGTTATCATTTATATTTTTTAAATATATATTATGTCTTTTTTATATTTATTTTAAACATTTTTATTCATCACTATCATTTTTTAATTCTCTCAATTTTATTTTATGATGATATAATTTTCCTGATTAAGGTATTAAATATTCTAATACTTTTTTTAAAAAAAAAATTAAAAATTATTTTAAATATATTTTTTTAACTTATAGTCGGTATATCAAAGCTTAAAGCTAGTCTTTTCGGTATAATTTAACATTCTTAATTGTTTTATTTTTATATTTTATCATTTTCTTGATATATATATTTTTTTTATATAAATTATTATTTATTCATTTTATATTTTTTAAATATTTAATAATATATATTTTTTTATTAAATTTGCAATAAAAAAATTTATAAATGTATATTTTTTATTATTATTAAATATATATAAATAATATTTTCAACATTTATATATATTAATGTATTTCATTTTTTTCTAATCTTATCATTTTTTTTTATAATTATTATTAATTTAGTTAGGATATATACATGAAATATCTAATTCTCTAAAGAATCTAGTATTATCAAGTTTTCCAATATTTCTATTAGTTTACGATTCATTAAAAACTTCGTAATTATTAATATTATACATTATTTATTTTTTATTTAATGAATTAACTAAACAATTATAATTTTTTTAAATATAATCAATAGGATTAGATAGTGATCTTTAAACTTTTAAAATATTGAAACTATTTAATTTTTTTTTTTTATTCTATGTTAGGAAGAGTAGCATGTATTTACTTTAAATATTGTAAACATTCAACTTTACTTAAAAGTGGTTCATAATCTTTATCATCAAAATCTATAAAAACATCATCTTATAATTTTTATTAATTTTTATTAACAACTTTATTTTTCTAAAATAAATTTTAATAATTTATAATATCGTTTCTTTAACTAATACCTTCATCTACACCTTCTTCTTTCACAACATTTAAACTTTTATAACTTTGTATATATAAATATTAAGTATTTAATTAAAAGAATATATATATATATATATATAAATATATATATATATATATATTTATAAATAATGTATATACTATGAATTTTAATTTTATTTTGTATTTTAACTATAATTTAGATATGATTTTTATCTAGATTATGAATTTGTTTAAAATTTAAATCGCTTTTTATTTAGAATTTATATATAATAATCTTTATATTATTTTAATTCTTTATTTAAATCTTAAACTTTATCTTATAGATGTTTATAATTTTAAATTAAATTTTGATTTGTTAGTTCAAGTGTTTAATTATATCTTAATAGTTTGGATATTTAATTTACTATTTTTTTATTATAAATTGAATATTTTTAATTTAATTTTTTAAAATTATCTGTTTCAATTTCTAATTATATTAATTTTTCATTTTTTTGTATATTATTTTGTGTTGTAACAGTTTAACTTTAAGTTTATTATAGTAATAAAGGTTATTATTCAAATAAATATTTTTTTTTTTGTATAATCTTTATAAATCTTTATTATAAAAATTCTAAATTTTTTAATATAAATTTCCTATATTGAAATCTTCATCATCGCTTTGTATATTTTTATAAAAAATTAACTGATCTTTTATATTTATATTAAATTAAAATTAAAATTTTATTATAAAAAAAAATTACTTCTTTTTTTATATGATTTTGTATTTTATAACATTCCATATTAAACAATTTAAAACAATATTTTCTAAATAAAAGAATAAAATATATAAATATATAAATATATAAATATATATATTTTTTTATATATATATATTTTTTTATTTAATATTTTTTTTTTTATTAGTTACTTTTTATTTTTTTTTTATTTCTTTATATTCTTTATAATATATAGCTGTTTATTATGTTTCCTTTATAATTTCGGATTTCATTTTTTCTATTTCTGTATGAATTAATATTAAATTTATTTATGGAGAAAGAATCTATAAAAATAATATTATTAAAAATTAAATAAAAATATATATTTGACATCTCTATATTAAAATGTTTTATTGGAATTTTCATCTGATATAAGTTTATTATTATTTTAATTTATATTTTTATCGATTTCTATTTATTATATAATAATTTCTTTTTCATATAACTCATTTCTTATTTCTTAAATACGATCTTATAATTAAAAAATTATATCTTTTTTAAAATTCTCAGCTTCTTATGATTATTGTTATATTAAAAGTGACTATATATTAAAAAAAATAATATAAATAGAATAATAATAAAAAAAAAAAAAATTTAAAAAAAATATAAATAAAAATATAAATAAAAATTTAAATATATTGATAAAAAATAAATTTTTTATATAAATATAAATATGAACAAATATATATATATATATATGTATATATATAATTATAATAATATATAAATTTATAAATATATATTTTTATCTATATACTTATTTATAAATTATTATTTTCATACTTATTTTTTTATATTTAATTTTATTATTTGTATATTTTATTCTTTAAATTTTTTTATATTTCAACTTAATAATTATTTAGTAAATATATTTTTATATTTTATCTATTTTTTTTTTTTTATTATTATTTGATTTAAAAATTAAATAAAAAACATAAAATACAATTTTATATGTTATTTACTTTTCCTTAAGCTTAGTTTCTGTCATTAGATATTTTTTCAACTATTTTTTACAAATAAGTATTTTCTTCTGTAAAGTTTTTAATTAATATATCTTATTATTCATCTGTTAAATTATCTTTTTTATTTTAATTTTCTAAAATAAAAATATTTTTTTTTTATTTATAACTAATATTCATATTTGAAAACAATATTAATTCTTAAGCTTATTAGTTTAAAAGTATATTATTATAATAATCTTTATTTTCTTCTTATTAATCTCTTAATTCTCTTTATAGATTAACAACATTTTAGCCTAAATTAGTTTATACTTGTTAATTACTATTATCCATATTTATTTATTTTAATTAAAAAATAAAATTGAAAAATATAAATTTTAAAATAAAATATAATTACAAAAACAAAAACTTAAAATATATTATTATGATTAATTAATTTTATTTAATTTATTTAATATAAAAATAAAAAAATAATATAAATATTGAAATATTATTAAAAAAATATAAATTGACTATAAAAATTAAAAAAGATATGATTACTACTATTTTTAGAGGATGTTTTTCAATAGGGGCATCCAATACATTCGAAAAAGTAAAAATAATAATTAATAAAATTTTAATTATAAAAATATAAAGAATCAATAATAAAATAGGCAAGACTATAAGCTACATATGCAAGAGATACAGAACCTCCAGATTAAACAGATATATAATGTTTTTTTTTATATAAAACTTATATATATGTATATAAAAATATATAAATAAGAAATAATAATGACTTTAACAGGATAAGATTAAGAAACAAGACCATAAATAGCTTTTAGTACAATTATAAATAAAATGCAGCATAGTGAATCGAAAAATAAATGGAATTATATAATAAAAAATTTAATTATTTTAGACATTTGTTTAGAAGAAAAATGTTTTGTTGATGATATTTTTTAGTTAAAAATTGCTCATGTAGAAAATTATAGTGATGTTGAAAAAAAAAATAGTATAAAAATATACTTTTATATATTTTATTTATAATGATAAAAAGATGATTTGAAAATAGATGTTTTCATTTAAAAATATTTAAAATATTTAAAAACTAAAAGTAGATTGTATTCAGATAAAACATCCAGTTTTAATGTGCCAAGATATGAAAAAAAAAAGTATTTTAGAAAACAATCGATAGATAAATTATTTGATGAACTTGAAGAAATATAAAAGTTTTTCGATTAAATATAAGATTTATAAAAAACAAATACATATAATTAATAAAATAGTAGAAAATATATATATATATATATATATATATATATATATATATATATATATATTATAATTTATATTTTTGAAAAAAAAAAAAAGAAAATTAGTAAGATAAAGGATATTTAATATATAATATAAATCAATATGTTTTTTCTTTAATATTAACTTAATAAATGACATTATTTTCATCAATGTATACAATATTATTAATATTAATAGGTAAAGAATAATAATAAATATATATATATATATTTTATTTTATTTTTATTTATATTTATATATAAATAATAGAGAAAATATTAAATTTACAACTTTCATAAGCTTTATAATTAAAAAAATATTATTAAATATTTTTAACCAATAATGAATATTTGTCTTTATTTTTACATAATTATTCCTTTGTTTAGAATTTCCAAAATATTAATATAAACGATTTATATAAAGCTGAACAAAAGACTTTAAATATAATAAACGAATATATTTAAAGTTTTGATAAAACACAAAAAAATGGTAGTAAATACATTGAAGCGAAAATCGTTAAATTCGAAATGGATATAAATTAATTATAAATAAAAATATAAGACGAAAAAATTGAAAATATTTAAAATAATAATATAAATGAAATTATTACAGATTTAAAATACGGCTTTTTGTCTATCTAAAATAATTAATTCGACTCCTAAACTGGCTTTTATGATGAAAATTAAGATCCAAAAAATTTAAACGTGAAATAATCAAAGTTATTGTTTTTAGATTTGGCTGTTAAAGGGTTTAATAAGTAATTTTTTAAGATTATCGTAATGAATATAGTACGAATTTCTCTGAAAATATGCCTTTTGAAGTTTAAGATAATTTAGAAGAAGCAAGTGAATATAATCCTTTAGGAGAGTATTTTTAGAAGAATTGCTAACTTATTATTCATAAGAAGGAAATTATTGATAATCATATCTATTAGGAAGATGCTTTTAAAAATATTAAATACTACGATGAAGAGATTTTTTAGGAATTTGTTAATGAATATAGTTATAGTATTAATAAAAATGAACAAAATAATAGTAGTTATTCGAAAATAAATAATTCGTAAAAAAATAATAACAATTCGTCTGATTTGAAGCAAAATTTACATTATTAAGGGGAAAATGAAAGTTTGCTTTTAAAAAATTTATGATTTATTCTTATATTTTATATTTATTATTTTCCTTTATACTTTATATATGTATTTTTTTATGATATTATATTTGTTTCTTATATTTTTTATATATAATTAGGATTAATTATTTTAAAAAATAATAGTTTATATATGTATATAAATATATATATTTATAATATACATTTTTTTTTTAATTTAGTAATTAATTAATAAATCTAAAAATATTATTAAATAAAATAAATGAAAGACCAAAAATTAGTTAAAAACTGGTAAGAATAAAGGAATCAAAAAAAATAAGAAAAAGAATAAGAAATACTATTAGGAGAAGGAAATAATATATTGGCATATGATTAATACAATTTTGATGAATTACCAATATAAAAACATAGTATAAAATAATAAAAAAATATATATAAAACAAAAAAAAACAAAGAGTAAGAAATATTATATTGTGTTGAAAATTATTCATGTGTAATAGTAATTGCAGAAACTGGATCTGGAAAAACAACAAGTAAAAAAATCCTAAAAACAAAAAAAAACTTAACAAATAAAATCTAGAAATTCCATAATATCTTTTCGAAGCTGGATATGGTATAAATAATAAAAAAATCTGTATTTCCCTCCCACGTAGAATAGCCGCTATATCAATCGCAAATCGCGTAGCCTAAGAAATGAATTGTAAAATCGGTGAAGAAGTAGGCTATAGTGTTCGCTTTGATGAAAAAACAGATGATGATTTAACTTAAATAAAATATATGACTGATGGAATGTTAATAAATGAAATATAAAAAGATCCATTATTAACATAATATTCAGTTATTATGATTGATGATATACATGAGAGGACTATAAATACGGATATTATTTTGGCTTTATTAAAAAAAATTCGAAGGAAAAATCCTGTATTAAAATTTGTGATTTCTTCTGCCACTTTAGAAGGGAAGAAGATTTTTTCGTTTTTTTAAGAAAATTAATTTCAGGCTAAAATTTTAAATATTTCAGGAAGACTTTTTCCTGTTGATATCTTTTATTTGTAAGAAAGTTGCCAAAATTATGTTTTATAGGCTTTATTTACTACACTGGATATTATTTATAATAAAAAGGAAGGAGATGTCTTAGTTTTCTTAACTTCTTAGTAAGAAATAGAGGCATTTATGGAAATTTTATATAATAGACTGACTGAAAAGCCTGCTAAAGTGAAGATACTACCTTTGTATTCGGGTCTGCCCCAAGAAGAATAACTAGAAGTATTTAAACCTGTTGACAATAATACAAGGAAAATTATTATATCAACCAATATAGCCGAATCTAGTATTACTATACAAGGAATAGTATATGTAATTGACTGCTTGCACTAAAAAATTAACTACTTTGATTATAAAAAGGGTATAGATAATCTTTAAGTAATACCTATAAGTAAATAAAGCGCAAAATAAAGAGCAGGTAGAGCCGGAAGAGTATAAAAAGGAGAATGTTATAGACTTTGTAAAAAAGAAGATTTCGAGAAAATCTTATATAATGAAAATACACCGGAAATACTAAGATGTAAATTAACTGATTTTATAATTTAAATAAAAAATTTGGGCGTAGGAGATATTTCTTAATTTGAACTTTTAACAAAACCAAAAGAAGAAGCTTTTGCAAAAAGTTTAGAGGAACTTTTTGCTTTTCAAATAATCAATAAAGATTGTAATTTAAATGATTTAGGTAAATAAGTAGTAGAATTTTAGTTACCATATAATTTAAGTGTTTTACTTTTGAATTCTTTTTAGGAAGAATTTGGTTGTTCTGAGGAAATTTTAGCCTTATGCTCTATTTTATGTCTATAAGGACAGGTTTTTTATTCTCAGAATGAAGTTTAAAATATTCTGAAAGTGAAAAAAAAGATCGGGGCTAAGGAAGGAGACCATTTGACGTTAATTAATATCTTTTTATTATATAAAAATATTAAAAATTAAAACGGAAAAAATGGCTTTTGTAACGAAAATAAAATCAATAGTAAAAGCCTTCATTTGGCTTTGAAAATTTACGATTAATTAAAGGAAAAATGTACCTTTTTGGGGTATAAAATAGTCTCTGGAGCAAGTGATATTGAAGGAATTTTAAGATGTTTGGTAAAGGCATTTTTTTTAAATGTAGGGTAGTTACAACCTGATGGATCTTATAGAAATCTGAGAAATAAAGAGATATTATTTTTACATCCGAGTTCTATTTTGAATATAAAACCGCCTTAATGGGTTGTTTATTCGGATTTAGTATTCACTAGTAAGTATTATATGAGAGAAGTTTCAGAAATAGAAGCGAGTTGGTTATTGGAGTTAGCAGGGCATTATTTTATAGATGTCAGGGCGAAATAAATGGAGAAAAAACACTAGGAAGAAATCTAAGTTTTAAATAAATAAGAAAAATATGGAAAAGGTTTTGATATTGGGTTTAAAAAAAAAAAAGGGATGGATTTTTCGGTTAAAAAATAATAAGATGATGAAGTTAAAAAGAAAATTAAACTTAATTTACCTATAAAAAAGGAAAAATAGAATAATATTCTGTCTTTTATTGGTTATGAAGAGTAAGATTGATAATATTTTAATTGATTAATTATATATAATATTTTTTTACATATATAGTAATTATTTATTTTAAAATAAATAATATATATATTATATACAAATTAAATATTATTTTTATATATATCATATAATAAATTTTTTGATATTTTTTTTTCTTTATTTTTATAATGTAATAAAAATAGAAAACATGTTTTATTCTAGTTTTTTTTTTCAAATGTGTTTATAATATTTATAACAAAAATAAAATAATTAGATAAAATTATATATAAATATTAATTATATATATAATTATATTTATATTTTAATTATATATTTTTTATTTATTTGAAAAATATAATTACATATATATTTTTAATTATAAATATTTTTTTTCTTCATATTTATTTTTTCATTAAAGCATACATATAAACATCATATAATTCTTATGGAAATTAATCTTGCTTTTCACATAAAACAACTTCTAATTTACATTCATTAAATATTTTTCTAAAAACCTTATTTGAACGTGTAATTGAGCTTTCTAAATTTTCATAAACATAATTTTCTTCAGATATATTTTCTTTTATAATAATAATTCCATTTTCATTTAGTTTTTAGGTACTTTTTTACAAAAAAAATATCAAATCTTCATCTTTTAATTAATTACATACCCATTATATCCATATTACATCATAACTTTTTTCGAAATTAAATTCTTCTAAACCTTATTAATAATATTTATTTATATTTTAATGATATTTAAGAATCTTTTTTGCCTTCTCTATATATTTATCACTAGATTCTAAAATATCTACCTCTTTAAAAATTAAACTAAGTAATTATTTGCTTATACGACCAATTCCGGCTCCACAATCAAGTACATTATTATATTAAATTGCCGTCTTTTATTCTAGTTTTTTCAAAAAAGTTTTACTGAATTCTATATCAATTTAATTTAAATGACCATATCCAGATAATACACCATCATATGTATCTTCCATTTGATTCCAATATGCTTTTCCTGTTTTATACCAATCGTTTTGTTGAAAATTAGATAATAAAGGTTTTTTAATATTAAAATAAAATAAAATTGGGATAATAAAAAACTTTTAATTTTATTTTACTATATTTTTAAACATTGAAATATATAAGTTTGTATATAAATTAATATATATAAATATTTATATATTTATATAAATATTTTTTTTTTATAATTTATAATAATTTTTATTATATTTATATATTTTTTTTTTCTCTTATAATACAAAATATATCATTTTCTAAATAATAATTATTTTTTTCTTTTTAATTATATTATGACATCTTATGTTATGATTTATTATTTTATATTATAATTTTTATGTTTTTTTATGTTATTTTATAATAATAACTAATATTTTGAAATTAATATTAAGCGGTTTTTGCTAAAAAGAAAATATTTAAAAAAATATATAATTATTTTTATTATATAATATAAAGAAAAATCTTTAAATATTCAAAATTTAATTTAAATTCAACATTAAAAAAAAATATATATATATTTTTTAATAAAAAAAAAAATATTAATTCACAAAAAAAAAAAAAAAAATTAAATGATCGACACTGTCACACTTGTTTAAGTATTCGAAGGATTATTATCTAATATGCCTTTAAAAGTATAATAAAGTGAATAATTTATAAACTAAAATTAATTATAACCAAATTACTGTATATAATTAATGATCTTAGCAGACAATCCTTAATATTCTCAATAAATCCGCTTATCAGCTGTAACTAATATAAAAAATACAATAGAAAAATACTGGATTACTACAAATATGAATAATAATACAGCTTTATCTTTATAAGGTATATTAATATATATAAATATATATAAACATATTTATAAAAATAAAAATAAAGATAAAGCCACTATTAAATAAAGTATAGCGGATGCTTTTATAAGATCATCTAGTGATAATTAAATATTTGTTTTATACAAATAAATAATAACTAAAATAATAAATTACGATTATCCTAATGAATGGCCTGAAATATTGACTAATATATTAACTAGATTAGGTTCTTCATAAAATTTCGAGGAAATACATGTTTGTTTGATTACTCTTTAGAAAATATTCAAGAAATACGAAGTTGAACTCGAAAGCAATGTCCTTGATCATCTTTTAAGCAAATCTATTATTATTATTTAGAATTTAGCAGGCCAATTATTATAAAATTATAATCTATAAACAGCTTATTAACTAAAATGTATACTTAAAATTTACCTTCATTCAATTAATATGAATTTCCCTTTAATATTAGCAGATTAGAATACACTATAAAATTGGCTAGTTATAATAAAACTTGTACTTGATTATTAGATTATTTAAGAATCTACAAATATTGAAAAAAATCCTTTTTGGAAAAATAAAAAAACATCGATAGATATATTAATAAAGTAAATATTTATATTTATATATGTAAATATATTAATATAATATTTTATATATTTATATATATAGAATGTTGTAAAAACATTGCTTAAAAAATTCTAAAGACAAAATATAGAAATAAGTTGCATGCTTATTTTTATAAAAATATTCTGGTTCCTTTGTATAATCTATTCTTAATATTTTATTTAATGAACTTCTTAAAGGAAAACAAGTGCCAGAAGTTGTTATTAATTGCTGCCTATAGTTTTTATTATATTCTTAAAATTATGATGAAACATTTGATGTCTTGCATCCTATTTTCGAATAAATCATTTTCGATTTATGTATTCCTATGTTATAACCAACTGCATAAGACACTGATCTTTACAATAGCGATCCAGAAGATTATATTAGAAAAAATGAAGACAATATATCTATAGCAGTTAATAAGGTAAAATAAAAAAATATATAAATATATAAATATATATATATATATATATATATATATATATATATAATTTTTTTAATATAGAATGCTTCTGTTAAATTAATTATTGAGGCATGCAAAGTAAATAATCCTAAAGGAGAAGCTTATATAAACTTAATATTTAATTTTATTGTTTAATGTTTAAATAATAATATAAATCCTAGAAATAATTTAAATATATCTATAGCTTTTAAAGAAGGAATTATTAATTTGTTAGGAATAATTAGAGATTAAGTATTAACTGTATTTATATTATTTTTAATTTGTTAATTTTTTTAAAAAATGAAATATATAGATTTATGAAGTGAAAGAAATAACAGTATAATTAGAAAACGTTCTTTAAAATTATATTATTCCTTTATTTTAATCTGATATAGGAATCTTAAAAGCTCGTGTATGCTAAACAATAGGAATTTTCGGAGGAATTTAATTTACTAATCCTTATAATTTACAAAATATAATAACTGTTTGAATATTATATATATATATATATATATATATAAATATATATAAATTAATATATTTATATAGGGACTTTCTTAATGTATGATAAATGGAGATTTAGTATTAAAAACATAGTCTTCAATTGCTTTATAATACTATATAAATTAAGAAGGTGTAAAAGATTTAATAAGGCCTGGTTTATCTGATATGTTATCTATTTATATAAAATTAATGAATAAATTAGACAATGATAGTTTAGTATCTGCTTTAGAAGTAATTGTTAGTAATTTTACAGAAGAAATAGCCCCTTATGCATATGATTTAGCCTTCCATTTAAGCTCAGTTTTCTACCGATATAAGAATAAAGAAGTTGGGGAAGAAGAAAATTGCGAAGATGGCGAAGTTTCGGGTGCTGAATGTTTATAGGCGATAATTAATATTTTAGAAGCTCCTTTAGAAGTTTAGGTTTATTAGAAAATAGAAAAAGACTTTTTAAGTAAATTAATTGTAGAATGTTTTGTGGATAAAGAATAGAGATATTTAGAAGAAGGATTTTCTATTTTAAATATTTTACTTTTTAAAATGAATTAAATTCCTAGTAGTTTATGGATTTTTTACCCTTTTATGTGTTATTGTATTATTGGAGTTCCTTAAAATATTAATCTTTCATAAATTTAATATAATGAAGAATATTATTAATTATTTTCTGTATTAGTTAATTCTACTGAAAATCAAAAATAATAATGGGCTTAAGTAGTTGATAGTATGGTAGGTCCTTTAAAGAATTATTTTTAGAAAGGAAAAGATATAATTTTATAATAAAATGATATTTTCGGTTAGAATTTGGTCAAGCTATTATTTGATTTAGTTGAAGGAATTTACTAAAATTAAAAGAATTTTACTTATACAGAATAAGCAATTGCTACTAGTTTAATAATTGGTTTTGTAGAAAATATGTAAAGCCCATAAATTGATCATATTTTATAAAATATTATTGAGTAAGGTTTATCCAAAATTAAAAATTCAATTAATAAAAATGTCAAAATTATCAATATTTAACTCATTTCTATTTGCCTTTATTATAATCCATTACTTACATTGAACTTTTTAGTAGAATTTTAATGTCTTGATTACTACTTTTAGGCTTATTTTGAAAATTTGGGAGTCTTTAAGACTGATTTTGAAAAATAAAGAATGCTTGTAGGTATTAGTTCTATCTTAAAATTATAATAGAGTTAGCTTCCTTAAGGTATTTTAAACTCATTTTAAGGTTTAGTGTGTTATTTGGTTTAATTGACTACAGAAATAATAAAATTAAGGGAAAAAGGTGAAAATAAAGAAGATAATAATTGTAATAGTAACAACGAATTATAAAAATTATAATAACAACTACAATAATACAACGATAATACTCCAGGAGAAAATATAGCAGAAAGCGATGAAGAAGAAGATGATGAAGAAGATGAAGATTTTGATGATAATGTAGAAATGAGAAGTAAAGTAGTATATAAATATATAAGTCCTTTAGAAATGTTCGACGAAATACTTTATTTAGAAAAAGTTGTTTTGGATTAAATGTAAAATGATGCAGGTATGTATGGATTTATTATAGGTTGCTTAGGGGAAGATTAAAAGAATTAATTAAATTCAAATTTTAATTTTGTTAAATGTTAAAATAAATAATAATTATAAAGCTGATTATTGTATTTTTATTTAAAATACGTAATTTTATTAAAACATTAATTAAAATTATTTTTTATTTAAATTAAAAAAAAATATTTATTTAAAAAATAATATATAAGATTATATATATTAAAATATTAAATTTAAATATATATTTTGTATTATTATTTTAATATTTTTTTATATATATTTTTATATTTTAATTTTTCTATTTTTTTTTTATATATATATATCATAAATTTATTTTTATAAAAGAAATTTAATATTTATGTATAAAATTTACGATATTCAAAACTAATATATACTAAAATAATATAAAAAATATAATATTAATTATTTTTTTTAAATTTATGATTGATTACATTATATATAAAAATAATCAATCAATCATATATAGATGATTATTAATTATTATAATCATTATACTATCAAATTATTTAATATTTAGTTATTAAGCATTAAATATTCCTAAATTTCCTAACTAGTCAACAAAGAACAAGAAATTATCTAAAAACCATATTTTTTCTATTAATTCTAATTCACTATTATTTAAAAATTTTATTATTTTAAATATTTAAAATATAGCTTCCTTTATGGACATCAATATGTTTTAAAAGTACACAATTTTAAAGATTATGTATTTTTCCCAAAGAGCAATCATATTATAATTTGCTGAATTTTTTATATATATAAGTTGGTACATCAATAAGGATTTTATCGTTTTCATCTTATAAATTATTAATGGCTACATATCTATTATTTATTTATTGGAGTTATATATTATCATTGTATCCTATTTATTATTCAAGCAATTATTGTTCTAAATTAATTGTATCTATACCCACTAAATATTAACCATCGGAAAATAAAAGGACTTCACGAGTTTAAGATTCCTCTATAATAAAAGTAGAGTAGAGAAGGATTTTGTTAAAATTCGTGTTTTTATTAGTTAAAATTGAACTGAATTTTAAATTTTCGGTATTTCCAATTAAATCATGCCTTTCGAATTAAAAACGGTTCTATTCTTTCTCATAATAGTAATATATTATTTTCTATTCTGTTTAATGGAAAATATAGTCTAGGTTGGGTTTTAATAGAATTTCTTTATTTGCTTTAATTCAGGAAGTGAATAGAATATTATTTTATTCGAAAATTCTACTAATAGTTAATTTTGGGAAGATTAGATTATTTTAAAGTCTTAATCAATTTTTAATTATGATATAATTTCATAGGAATATTCATTTTTTTGTTGTTTTTATTAATTTTCGATGTCTTATTTGCTTTTATTTTCTGTTTCTTGTGTTTCACAATTAGTTTTTTTTTAAATTTATTCGTTCTTTTTTATTTATTTTTAAATTTATTTATTTATGTGTACAAAATTTTAAGGAGAAAGTTAATTTAAATCGTTTTAAAAGTTGAAAATATTTTAAAAAGAATTATTCAGAAATGAAAATATTTATTTTGGTTAAGTTTCAAAAAATTTTGGTTAAGTTTCAAAAAATTTTATCAATTTAATACTTTTATTTTATTTTATTATAAAATAGGCATTTTGTTAATCATTATCTATATTAATTTAAATACAATCTTCAACTTTTTCTAATATTATTTATATACTATTGGAAATTTTGAATTTATTAGTCATTAAATATATCAGTATTAATCCATAATATATTAAGTATATAAAAAATTAATAATTATTTACTATATTTGTTAATATTAAAAATACTATATTGTATAAGTAAATAGATAACATTAATCTAAAATCTGTCTTGAAAAATATATTCTATGGCAATATTTCAAAATAAAAAATACTGTAGATAAATTTTAATTCTAATAATATATACTAGAGAATGTTTTTTTTGTAAAATTAACTCAAGCCAAAAGATAATAATATGTTTACCAATACATAAATAATGTTTTTTATTTTTTGTTTTTAATAAATTCGATGCCTCTAGTTGTTGATAAATATAAATAAATAAAATGCTTTTAAAGGATTTCAATACAAAGTTTATTTCCTTAATATAACACTATAAGCTTAATAATTCCTGCTAACAAAAATAAAATAAGCATTAATTTTTAGATAATTATTTTTATTATGTTATTTTTTTTTAATTTTTTTTTTTATAATTTAGTTAAGAAATATTAGTAATTAGTAATTATTAATTTTTATATAATTTTATTTTATATATATAACTAGAGATAATTTGATATGAATAATATTAAATATATAATATAGACTTTTAATTATATGGTGATTTATTTAAAAAAATCTAAAATAATATATATTATATTTTTTACATGTCTATAATATATTTATATAATTTTAAATTCCAAAATATCATTAATATAATATTTAAAACAAAATTGGAATTTTATATGGCTTTAATATTTTTTAAAAAATATATATAATTATAATAATACTATAATTTTTTTCATTTTTTTTTTAAATTAAATATAAATTATCTGTATATCATGTTTATAATAAATTTTATTATAAAGTAATTTTTAAAGATATATTTATTAACAAAAAGAAGAAATCGTAATAAAATAAAGAATAAATTTTTTTTGTAAAATATATATATTTAATATATATAAATAGTTATTTTTTGGTAATAATGCATATGATATCTCATAAATTATTATTTTATATATAAAAAAATAAATTCAGGTTTAATTTAAATTTATATTGTATTATAAGAATAATAATTAAAATTATATTAATTAATTTTTATCAGTAAAAAGTTTTGAAATTATAATATGAGAATATTAAAAAAATTCTGTTCAATAATAAAATCAAAAATAAGTTTTAATTATAAAACTATTGGTATTTTTATCCCTAAAACTATAAATATTATTAGAAAAAATAAGGAAATATAATATTGATTTAAAAAATAGAAATAAAATCGTGATATTTAAAAATAGGTTAAAATATAATATGACTTTATATTATATATATTAATTTATAATTATATTTCTATTAGAAATATATTTTATTTTAATATATATAGGTAAGTATTAAAAAATGTTATATTTTTTATATATAAAAATAAGTAAAACAATTTTATATTTTATTTTAAAAATGTTGAATATATATGTTACTGTTTTAAAATAAATAAAATAGATAAATAGATAAATAAACTATTTATTTAAGTAATAATATATACTTAATATAATGAATATGTCTATATATATTTAATATATTGAATGCATACATATTTATGTATATTTATATTTAATATATAAAATTTTATTTAAATAATAAAAAAATTTATATTTTTTAAATTTATATGTATATATTATATATGTTAATTAATATTATTTTATATATTTATTTTTATTCTTATTTTTATTTTAATTTTGATTTTAATAACTAATTTTATTTTTAACTTTTTATTTATAAATAATTTTTCTTTAATTTATTTTTTATTATTATAACTTATTAATATTTAGATTTTTAAATAGTTATTATTATTTATTTAAATCATTATTTATATTTTTTTATATAAAAAAATATAATTAGAAAACATTAATTTCTTTAATTATATAAAACATTAATTTAATTTTTAAAATTAAAAAAAGTACTTAAAATAAATTTTTTTTATTTCAATTATTATATATAAAAGAAAAATAAGCAAAATAAATAAAAAAAATGAATTAAAATTCTTAAATACAAAAGAACATTAAAAAATCAAAATAATCGTAAAAAAATAATAATTAAATATTATTAAAATTTTAAAAAGAATAGAATTCGAAATGCTTTTAAGAAAATATAATGATAGTTCAATTAAATAATACAAATCAAGCAATCAATGTACACCTGATAAAGAAATTATTAAATTGGATAGATTAAAATCAGAAAAGTATATTTTATTATAATAAATAATCATTGTAATAAAAATAAAAAGACTATCAAGATTTAGTTATTTAGATAGTTAAAATAAATCGTAATCAAAAGATTAATCAAAAGGAAGTTTTTTAAATATAAGCGATGCTAAAAGAAATATAAGTTTTTCTTATGAAAAATAAAATAATTTATCTTTCGCTAAAAATGCAAAAAATAAATAAATATTAACTATTGAATAATAAATAGAAAATTTATATTTTTAATACATAGTAAAAAAAAAAAAAAAAATCATATATATATATTATTAAAATAAGAATTATAAAAATAAGAAAAAAGATATTCCCTTATTCAGTTTATAATAAAAAATAAATAAAATTTTAAGTAAATCATAAATATAGAAAGAAGAGGGAATCCTAAAAAAAGGTTTTGGAGAAATTCATAAAAATTAACAATTGTGGTATTTGTATTTATTATCTTTTGATTTTTCTGAAAAATAGAAAGAAAATATATCCGACTATATTTTAGTTAAAAATATATATATATATATATAAAAAAAATATAAAATAGTAAAATAAAATTTTTGAAAAAAAATACCAAAATTATATACATGAAATATTAACTTCTAATACTTTAATTGAAAATTAAAAAGAAAATTCGCCATAAAAAAATTTCTAAAATTCCCAAAAAGGAGGTCTAAAAGACTTAAAAAATATAATATATGAAGAAAAATCAGAAAATTAAAGCTCGTAATTAAAAAATGAAAAATAAAAAAAAACTTTTGAATGGGGAACAGAAGAAGTAGCAATATCATCAAATAGAAATAATAATATTAAATAATAATATTTAAATACAGAAGGTAATTATTAAACTCCATTAAATTATAATAATCGAATAATAATAAAAAAAAATTAAAATGTGAAAGATTTAGCAAAATAATTAAGTTTTTCTAATAAAAATATAGAAAAAACGCCTTAATTAGGTTATTTAAATTAAGAAGAAATATAAGAGATAAATTCTAAATGGAATGAATAAGATGAGAATTTATAAAATATATTAATAGAGAAAAAACTTAAAGATGTAAATGATTTAAATGTAAATATTACTGAATTAAAAGAGGCTGTTTCATTTTCCAAAAAAACAGTTCTTATTAAAAGAGTAAAAAAAGTCTATT